AGAATATAATATGTGAGGAGGTGGCGCGATGGAATTTTGGTTTCAGGGTCCACTTTTCGGAATTTTGTATCATGAGAGTATGATATGTGAGTAGTGTGAATACATGTGTGTGAATGTGTGTGTGCGTGTATGTTTGCGGATGCATGTGTATGACAGATATGTGTGTGTGTGTGTGTGTGTGTGTGTGCGTGTGTGTGTGCGTGTGTGTGGGCACGCGCGCGCATGTTATGTGTGTGCGTGCGAGCGCTCGTGTGTGTTGCGAATGAATGTGCGTGAATGTGTGTGTGTGTGAAAGTATGTATTCGTATGTGTGTGTATATATGTGTGCGTGTGTATGCGTGTGTGTGCGTTTGTATGCGCGCGTGTGTTGCGAATGAATGTGCGTGAATGTGTGTGTGTGTGTGAAAGTATGTATTCGTATGTGTGTGTATATGTGTGTGCGTGTGTATGTTTGCGGATGCATGTGCGTAATGTGTGTGTGTGTGTGTGTGGGTGGGTGTGTGTGTGTGTGCGTGCGTGGGTGCGTGTGTGTGTGCGTGCGTGCGGGCGTGTGTGTTGCGAATGCATGTTCGTGAATGTGTGTGTGCGGGTGTGCAAATACATGTGTGAGGAGGTGGCACTATGGAATTCCGGGACCTGGATGCTCTTTTCGGAATTTGATGTCAGGAGTATATGAGATCTGAAGATGTGGGAGATATCATATTTATCAAAAACACTGATAATAAATGAGATCTCATGTTTGTACTGTGAGTGGGTCACGTGACCAACTCGTAAAACTGCGGCAAAGTGTTAAGGCAATTTGAAACGTTACGAAGTTTTCTCCAAATCTATTCGATGTCGATTAAAAGAAAAGGTCCTCCGAATCGATCGAAAGGAACAAAAAATTGTATAATTCGTAAAAGTAACGGTCTGTCAGCATCTTTCGTGCATTGTAATGAAAAGACCGTCGGTCCAGCATTTTATTCAATGTTTTATCGAACACGAATTACTCATTCTTCGCGCTAATGTCCGCCGAAGAATAGCCGCATTAATGGTTTTTAGTCTCGTTCGTGCGGAATTAACGAGCAGGTGACAGAAAACTTTCACCGCGTTTTCTTTCATCGCCTTCTATTCAGAGACCCCGTTCGCTTTCTCGCTCGGATTACGATTCTTTTTAACGTTATTGTTGTCATGGAATTTTTAATATTAATGGCCATCAGACGGTGTCCGGCTTTTACGGACGATTTGAAACGGCAGTGATTTCAAAGTAACCTTCCGCCTCGCAAAGCAGGGCCTTGTAGTAAGGGACAGATCTGAATCTAAGGTCACTCTGCTGATGTACTCTTGTTTATGATGAACTTCTTAATTATGTGATACTCATTGTTTTTTTTTGGATTTATTGTTTTTTTGGAGTTACCGTTTTTTTTTAGGTTTATTGTTTTTTACTAATAGTAAAATCACCAAATTTCCAAATTTCAAAATCCTCAAATTCTTTAATTCCTGCTTCGCAAAATCCTCAAATTCCCAAACTTCCAATAATTCCAAAATCCGCAATAAAATTCGCCACCGAAAAATGATTCACAGAACAGATTGCATTGTCAGTGAAACCGTACATTTCCCAACGAATCCATATCGCAACACAAGCAATATAAACCGGAGCAGTTTATAGCGTAAATTAATATTAACACCTCATTAACCAGCGACGGAACGAATATCAGAATTTCCCTGACGTACAGTCAATTCAATATCGCATATTGGCATCGCATTTTTGCGCAACTGGCGATTTTATAACACGTCTGGTGGACAGTTAATAGAAATTTGTTACTGCTTCGCAGCGACTCGTAGTCGTTAACTATAATAATAGTAGTTAATTAACAATTTCGATCTCGTGATAGTTATCAGAAACTTCTAATTATTTGGAACATCGTACACCTCTAAAGTTAATGAAACTACTGCATCGGTGTTTTGCTCGATTTCGACTGGCGGAGAGGGGCAGGTTCAGTTAATTGAATTGATAATTGTTCATTAAATAATCGGACGATAAAATTTGATTCGCGAAACAGATATTTGATTATTGGAAAATTTTAATTAATTTCGTGGTTCGATGGAAAAGTGTATTTCTTTATATATTATTTAACTCGTCATTATGACGGTGTTATTTAATGAGAGTTTATGATATTCTTTGTAAAAAAAAGTTGATTAAATCGAGAGAAATTATGAGGTACTCTGTTAGGAAAGGAATATATGTATTGGAGATATGTTCTTTTTATATGAATATTGTGGAATGGAGGATTGGAAAATTTTATAATTTTTGACGATTGATTCACGATTATTTAATCTTTAAATGTTCGCTATTTAACACTTTGCTCTTGAAAGGAAATCACCATTCAGTTTAATATAAGAATTTGAAATAAATATCTTGTAACGAAATTTATTATATTATAGATGTAAACGTAACGGAACATAGTGGTAATTAATAATAGAATATTAGTAATTTTGAAAGAATTCAGTAAACTTTTTTAGTAAAATTTTTTAAGGTCGATATTTAGCAAAAGCAAAAATACCTTCGAGTGTACAAGGGTTAATACAACAATTTCTTTTTGCTACGTGTGTAGTCTTATATACATTGTTAAATACTCCCCGAAGAATTATTTAGTCTTATTTGAATTTAAGTGAAATTGTATAAGTGTGGGTTAAGTATGTTCTGAATGTAAAATAACCATGGTTTTTCGTTACGTTGCGAATTGTATGCGATTCTATTGTTATTGCGAAGGTAGTGATAAGTTTATTTGTAGCGGAGAGCGAAGAAAGAGTGAGCGAGATAACATTTGTAAATTTCTGAAAAGCGATGCCTAGCTGGCGATCTCCTTGCGTGCACAAGGGCGCTTCGGCGAACCTGGGGCCGTTCAAGCCACGGCTGGGGGAGGTACTGTATGTATCGCCCTGAGGCCGGTATGACCCTGACAGGAAGATGTCGAACGTCTCCGGTAGTGAGGGACAGTGGACGGAGAACCACTTGGTTGTTCTCCGCGACCTTTAGGCTGGTCTAGGAGTAAAGCCGCTATGGTATATAAGGGTTGTATTCGAGAAAAGTTAGAAAGGCCCGATCGTGTTGCGAACATTACTTGGGCGAGGCCCGAATATTCATTATTAACTTGTTGGTTGAAGAAGCTAGCTATCTGGCTCACTCTTGCAAGAAACAGAAATTACATTCGAAAAATTAATTATATTTCCTAACGTTTTATTCGACGATAAACGGTAATATTTTGCGCTCAATATTTTGTAAATTCAATCTATGATAATTTGTACAATTTGTATTTAAACGACTTTCGTATGAAGTCATTAACTAACCCCGATTTTCCTTTCTTCCTATTCTTTAAAACTTAAGAAACCATACAAACTGAAACAGCAATTGAAAAGCTGAAGAATCGTAAAATTCAAATACACGGAACCAGGAGATTTGGAAGTTGTGCACTTGAATAGGAATAAAATTTGAAAGAAAATATTTTTTACCATACGATTTCCACGTATTTTTGAACAGTTCAAGAAGTTTATCGAGGATTTCTAAAGTCATGAGATGTCGCGTATACATCTCAGCGACGTATTGACGAAAAGTTTGAACATCGGCCATTGGATCGAAGTAAAAACATTTTGTTACGTGACATCAAGATAGAAGAAACTTGCGTGTACGTCTCGGAAGCACCGACTTGGAAAACATATTTTCCAAAGAAGTTTCATGAATTTGGAAAGGAAACACCCTTGACCAAAAGTTTACCGTAAACTTTTCTTCTGTCGACTCCACAAAAGATATGTACGATTTTTATTCCAGGTCGCGTCTTTAAGCTACTAAATCTGTCTCAAACTATTATTTCGTTTCGAACTTTTATCATCGCTGAATATTTAAATTGGACGTTTATTGATTTAGAAAGGTTCACATTCTTTGTGCATTACATTCATGTATTTTAGAATATTTTTTATTTTTAGATTCATTTATTTTACAAGTTTTAATATTTTAAATAAAATTTAAAAACTAGATATTTTATATTTGAGTTTCCAAGATGTGCAAATATGTATGTTTGAAATTTAGAAAATCTGAATATTAAAAATTTGTAAAATATGAAAATTTAAATATTTGAAATTTGAAGAAACTTGAATTTTAATAATGTAGGGAACTTAGTGACAGGGGTTTGATAACTCAATAACTCGTTTAATAACACAAAAATATTTAATATTAAAAAGGAACAAAATACAATTGACGTTCGACTTTTCTCTCTGGACTCTTTCGACTCTCACGCTCGACTTTCTCGCTCGACTCCACAATTCATTCTGCCTCCACGATACACTTGCTCTCCCAAATTTAATCATACACGCATTCCTCTTACGACGAACTGTCACTCGATCCAAACTCTCTTCATTCACACTGCAATCAATCCAAACACTCTTCATTCGCGCCTCGCTTGATCTATGCCGCACAAACATTCTCTCGGACACCACAATAACCTGGAAAATATTAAAATATAAATTTGAAGATTTGATAAATATGCAAATTACAACATTTAGGATTTAATAAATGTAAAAATTTAAACACTTAAAATTTAGCTTGAAAAATATCAATAATCTGGGAAAAATATGAAGAATATGAAAATTTAAATATTTGAAATTCGATAAATATGAAAATTAAATATTGCAAATTTATTCTTCACGAAAATATAAATATAAAAATCTGAACACTAAAACTTCAGAAAATACAACTACACGTTAAAAATCGAACGAACATAATCTGAATATCGTACACAGTACATATCACCGTCATGAACGCGATAAATACCCGACCGTGTGCAATAAAAAAGAACACCCTTTAAAAAAGGTGGAGAGGAAGAGATTGCAATTAGACGGGCATTAAAGGGGCCTGAAATATTGGCACGTTCTCAACTTTGGCTGTCTATTCATCTGCTCGAGTGTTTTCGTGATCAAGGATCCGCAGCTTTATTAAAGCAAGCAGAGTATTTACTAGAAACTGCTCTCGTAAGCGGGATGGTACTTCGTAAAAGCGGCTGTTCTACCGGCTTTGACGAGAACGAACAACAATTTGCACTCGCGAAGTCGTTGCATTTCCGCCACGCTGATCACTTCCGAAACTCACCCTTTCGAATTTCTAATTACACGATTCTATTTAACGCTCTTCCGAGACGCGTTTTACGTTTCTCCGCTTGGACACGATTCACTTTCGAAACGTGTTTCCCTCCCGAGAGAAACTTGCCGATGTTTAACTTTTCGTAAATGTCATCTGTTCGCCGTCACGATTTTATTCAATTTCCCGTCGCTTTCGTTATTTTATTTCTCTACGGAGACAAATTCGATGGCTATTATTCGGAAATCTTTACTTCTCGTTTTCTTGTAAATTTACAGAAAGTAATCATGGTAGAGGGATATTTATTTATAATTTCTGTGTAGATTTTAAATTATATATTAACATAATTATGAAGTATATGTACATTTTATTAGAACAGCCTGAATATTGTAACACATTATACATTGCAGATTGTACTATACTAGTGTTAATAAATTTTAAATTGAAATTTTAAAATGAAACTGCATAAATAAATTTCAAGTTAAAATTGTATAAATAATTTTAATCTTGAAAACATCAAACTAAATTTCAAATTGAAACTGTATAAATAAATTTTAATTTGAAAATAACAAAATAAATTTTTAAGTGAAATTATATAAATAAATTTTAAAGTGAAATTGTACAAATAAATTTTAAATTGAAATTGTATAAATAAATTTTAAAGTGAAAAATATACAAATAAATTTTAAACAGAAATTGTATCAATAATAATTTTTTATCTGAAACTGTACAAATAAATTTTAAAGTGAAAATGTATAAATTTTAAACTAAAATTGTATAAATAAATTTTAATTTAAATTTTCACAAACATACTTTAAGTTGAAAAAGTACAAATAAATTTTAGATTGAAATTGCACGACTAAATAAAAAATTGAGAGCATCTAAATAAATTAAATATTGAAACTGTATAAATAAATTTAAGATTGAAACTGTACATATAATTTGTTAAAAAAAAGTCAACTTCAGAAGAGTGATCATTTGAAAAAGAAAATGTATATGTATGTATGTTAAAATTACAATTATATTATAGGTAGTTTTTAGACAAAGGAAATTAGTATTCAATATCATTTGTCAATTCTGTTTGCAAATGATTGAAACTGATACATTCGATGAGCAGTAGTGCAAACAAACAATATTGATATTCTCCTGAATTTGATATAACCTCAATAATCATATACGTATGATATCGTTATACATATTCGATATTCCAATAATATTTGTTGTTTCCATACTCTGTCGTGTAATTTAATCATAGTTTTCTACTGAATAACAATATTTAATAATTTAATAACGTTGTAAATAACGTGTATAATAAAATGATATACATAAGTTGTATTTATTTATATAATTCTAAATAACGCAATTCATGTATAATCTTTTAAATAACGCAATTCATCAATGTGATTCTAAATAACGTAATTCATCAATGTGATTTTAAATAACGTAATTTATCAATGTGATTCTAAATAACGTGATTCATCAATGTAATTCTTAATAACGTAATTCATCAATGTGATTCCAAGTAACGTAATTCATCAGTGTGATTCTAAATAACCTAATTCATCAATGTTATTCTAAATAATGTAATTCACCAATATAATTATAAATAACGTGGTTCATCAATGTAATTCTTAATAACGTAATTCATCAATGTAATTCCTAATAACGTAATTTATCAATGTAATTCTGAATAACGTAATTCATCAATGTTATTCTAAATAACGTAATTTATCAATGTAATTCTGAATAAAGTAATTCATCAATGTGATTCTAAATAACGTAATTCACCAATGTAATTCTAAATAACGTGATTCATCAATGTAATTCTTAATAACGTAATTTATCAATATAATTCTAAATAACGTAATTCATCAATCTAGTTCTAAATAACGTAATTCATCAATGTAATTCTAAACAACGTGGTTCATCAATGTAATTCTTAATAACGTAATTTATTACAATAGTCCTAAATAAACTATTATATATAAATGCTGGAAAAATGTTCGAAAGGTAAAAAATGACCGTAAAACGAGTACAAAACGCAACCGTTTAAACGCAGAAACAATTCTGATTTCTTTCACAAGGTATTTATACAAATACTTGCAAATACGATGTAAAGTACGTTAATCCCAGTGTTCTGATTGTCGAATCGTTCGGAACGAATCGTGGCATGGTTTTCGAAACGAAACACGACGAAACGAGGCAATAAGAAGCCGATTCCCCATCCAGCAGAGTAAGGCAGATCGATGCTGTATGACCCGCGGCGATGTTTTTAATCACGATACACGAAGCATCGTTCGTTCAGCTATTTGTTCCACGGGTTTTTCTTTTAAAGCGAAACGGATTAATTTCAATAAGCCCGGCACCGAAGTTAATACGCTATAAAGCTCGAGTTTATTAAGCCCTCCGGACGTGTGTTTTCACGAATGGGTCAAAACACGCGCTCGAGGATCGTTTGAAATTGACTTCGAATATATACTGACGAGCGTTCACGAGGAATTACTTATTTCTCGGAATTTCATTCTGACATTTCCACCGTATTTCCTGCTACGTTCCGCAGATGAAATTTCTTCCTACGCGTTGTTTTTCACAATTTAATGTTCCACTGTTTTTCGAAACTTTCGCATTTTAATTACGAAACGATACCCTTTCAACGGAACATTCTAACAAATGACTTCAACGGTACAGAATCTCTTATACAAGATATAATTAAATAAATGGAGGATGGTATGTAATAATACGCACTACATTTTTTAAAATTTGTGTACATTCCTCATTTCGAGGAATATCTGATATTTTAATATTCTAAAATGTTTTTTTTATATTCATTGCTAGAATATTGTTTCTGGTTAATATATTGTAATTAACAGTAGTAGCTATTATAATTAGTATATTTTCATAGTCAAAATTATTAACAATGGGGATTTTATTTTGCTTAGAATTACAAAGTATTGATGAATTAGCGATAGTGTCTACAAAAATAATTCCCGAGTGTTGTATTGACGTAGGTTTTTTGTCTTCTCTGGCATTATTTTTCCTATAAAAGTATTGTGGCTCACCATCTCCTTACTTCGCCATTTTTATTAAAGAATAGCTTTCAAGTACTATACTGGCAAATGATGGTTCTGTCTTTATTTTATATAGCTATTTTTATTAGAGAAGTAATATCCAAGTATAAGAGTATGATTGGACGCCATTTTGTTTTTTTCAAATCGCCATTTTCTCTCAGATGATAGTTTCAAGTATTGTACCGATGAACCGTGGCACCCTCTAATCCTTATCTCGTTATTTTTACTATAAATGTAATTATCAAGTGTTATAGTGCGATTGGGCGCCATTTTGTTTTCTCCAAACCGCCATCTTCTCTCAGAAGGAAGTTTCAAGTATTATACCGATGAACCGTGGCGCCTTCTAATCCTTACATCGCTATTTTTACTTTAATTGTAATTATCAGGTATCACAGTACGATAGGCCACCATTTTGTTTTCTCCAAATTGCCATTTTGTCTGAAAAGATAGTTTCAAGTATTAGCGTCTAATCTATATACATCGCTATTTTAATTAGAAAGTAATTATTAAGTATCACAGTAAGATTGGCTGCCATTTTGCTTTCTCTAAATCACCATTTCCTTTCAGAAAATAGTTTCCATGTATTACAACGAACTATGTTGTCTCTTTTTTCCAGTATTGTTATTTTTATTAGATAAATAATTTTTAAGTATGGTATTATAATTCAGTACCATCTCCTTTTTCCTATGTCATTATTTAGTGCCCCTAACCTTCTAAAAACTCGAAGTCCCTAATTCTGCAAAAACCTATTACTCCCACAGTAGTACAAAACAAAGCGTACACATTTATCCTTAAAACTAGTTTCAAACGTATCCCATAAACGTCGACAAGCAAAAAATCAGCCACGACGATAGAGACGTTCTATCCCAGCCAAGGTATCCCAGTCGGTTGGCAAGGTGATGTTCCCAGCTGTTCTTTTTCCACCGCCCATCAGTTTATTTCCCCGCGAAGCATTTTACCCAGCAGTCCGTCTATATTTCCCCGGGCTCTGGATCGAGCATCGGACATTTTTTCTTCCAGCGTTAGGCCGGTCGTCATCTGGAAAGGGCAGAGGGGTGTAGGATGGCGGTGCTGGTTCGTAGGACGAGACAGACGTCGAATGGAGGTGGGGTACGTAGGTTGTCCGAGCAATCGGTGGATATAGCAAGCCCCGGACCTGCGATTTGGCAACGATCCACAGTCGGCTCAAACCAGCTGGACCGTAGCCAACTTTCCTTCGGCCGGATAGGGATTTCAGTTCGATGTGCGGCGACAATATTCTACGTTTATACGAGAACCAGCCACATCCCTCTCCCAACCCAGCCACCACCATCGACCCTATGTGCTTCCCTGTCTCTGTCTAACCGGCGTTCGATCCTGCGGGTCGACGCTGAGCAGCCATTGTGTTCCGCACTCGAAGCTGCTGGTTCATTTCGCTGCTCCATAGGCAACCGAAGCGACTTATCGAGTGACGAAGCACACGGAGAAACCGAAAACCGCTGAACGTGCCGTTGAATACCTATCTGGCAGCCATGCACCGCGACACGCTCCCACCACGAGGGGATGCTACGGGGTATTCTTTGGGGTTCATTGATTCCGTTACGTATTTTGGATAACCGTTTCGCTACGTGTTTTAGGATGTTGACTACATCTCTTCCACAATGCAGATGTACCTTCACATTCTTTATATTTTAGAAAAAAGACTACACTCCAGGTATTAGGGACTAGTACTTAAAGACTGGTACTTCTTTCTTCAAGGAGTAAATAAATGAGTAGTATTTCAGTGGTAGATGGGTTTATGGGTCTCTATGGACTTGTTTAGCTTTCTATTTCCTTATTCAGTAAGCAGACATGTGAGCAATTATTTCACTCTTGAGATCAAAGGTAGGTGTACAAGTGTTATAGTTATTTCAGATTATATATGGATCTGATAGGATGAGAGCACCCTGTCCACATCTTTATAGGTGTTTAAGAAAGTAGCAAAGGTACTATCCAGATATTAGGGAATAGACTAGCATTCTACTTTCTACAGATATCACAGGTAGATTTACAATTGACCAGTTGATAAGTCAGCAACCATCTGTCCACTTATTCATAGGTTTTAGAGAAAACAAGGCACTCTTCAAAGCCTAGACTAGTACCTACATTCTTACAAATATTTCTTGAGTTACATAAATGAGTACTTCTCCCAATGATCTCCCTAGCAAATCAATGGTAGATGCTAATAGTTAATAAGCCTTCATGAACCCACCTCTGCAGCTATCTCAAATATATCCACATTCAGTTATGTATTCATGTAATTCCAAGGTTACCCATAAATTACATCTTTAAAGCAAGGTCAAAGTTACAATTACAATCAGCATGTGAATGAAGTAGTACCATTCATCTATTCTACATGTTTAACTACCCAAAAGTAACAAATATGTTCATGGTTTTAAATTTAATTAAAATATTCTCTCAAAGTTAGCAAACAAGAAATGAGAGTAGTATTCATAACGAATTTTGTCTTCGGATAAAATAACTATCCCAGAATAAATGTGACATATTGGCTTATATCTCTATTTAATTTCTAGGTTGTCCCGTTTAGGAACCAAACGTATCTTGTTCAATAAGGTCAAAAGTGCATTTATTATTACTACTGTTCCACATGCAAACTCAACCAATTCTGTCTTCATCCATTTTCATCCTTTTATTAAAAACAGAGCTGTTCTATCCTTATTTTGTGGGTTCTAGCAAATCTCTTTGAAATCAGGTGATCAGTGTTGAGTCATAGTATCAAATTGTCAGCGTTGAATTCTTAATGCCGAGTCATCACACTGCTATCGCTGAATCCTGAGTTATCACTTGAAATCCAGTGGTGAGTTCTCAATACTGAAATATTCAACGTTCTTTCCCCAGCATCGATTTGTTTCAGTTGTCAATGTTTAAATTGTCTTCACTGAGTTATCAAGTGTGAGATAAAGTCAAAGGTAAACCATGACTATTTCAAGCAGTGCACGAGGTGGTGCAGTAGTCATACATTACTAACTCTGACTATATCTATTTTGTATAAATACATATATCAGACTAAAAGCGGAAGTGTTCTTCAAATGGCAGAGATCAAACTACCGACCCCATTTACCTCCCAAGTTATCGGTTAAAATAAATGAGTAGTATTTCTTCCTCGGGGTCAAGTTAAAGGTGGAGGCTTAGGTTTCAGGGATTTTCTTCGGGATTTATTAGCTCCTAATAAATAGCTTCTTTATTAGCGTCTTTCAATTATTAATTTACTTTAAAAAGAGTGTATTTTCGTCTAAAGATGTCCATTAGACAAAAATTGTTGGATACAGAATAAAACTATGCCTGCGAAAGAATTTCACTCAGGACACGCGATTGAAAATACTGGCACAATTAATACTGTTCCGGTCATTTCATATAGACTTTCATTTTATCATTAAAAAGTTTCATACATAATAATTGATATGAAATATGCTTATTAATATTACAATCAGTGAATTCCTCTCATCAGTATTTCCACGATGGAAATGAAATGCTTATTTGAACGCAGGATTCAATACGTTTAATTGAACACTTTTACGTTCAACTGATCTCGTTTGCAAACACGTTGAGTTTTTCAGTTATTTCTGTGAAGTTATTTCTGATAAAATGAATATTTGCTGGCTACCTGTGTCGGTACAGTTTTAGTTAACAAATTTTTCCAACGCAAAAACACCAATCATCTGTCAGAAACAATATTTATTTTCTTGTTACATTTAATAACTTTTTGCGAGAGCTGCGATACTGCAGATAAAATCCCCGAAAGAACATCCAAAATCCCAGTTTATAAATAAACGCATCGATACTTACCAAAATCATAAACGACGGAAAGTCGAATGAAAATAAAATTGAACAATCAGAAATCGTGATACAGTTTGAGCCCTCCAAACTTTAATGAACTTTAAATTGCGCTTGGTGAAGTTGTTAATAGAACAATTAACATTTTTTTTTCCTGTGACACGAGTTCATAAAAAAAGTCTGCATTTCGTGCTAGATATTCGCGTCAATTAAGCGCAGTAAACGTTTCGGTAAACAGTTTAATGGCACTCCATCGTTGCCAGTGGCTGTCACAACAAATTCATCATTCCGTTCGTATATAGCTGTTGAATTAACTCTTGACCCTCTTCGACGGACTTTGGAAATTCGTTGATTAAAAACTTTGTTTATGACACGAGATATCCACGTGGATGGCCATTGAAAATGGAAGCCCATTCCGGTGTTAAAAACACAACGATACAATCGAACAGTTTTAATAACTCGTCTGCAGACTATGTTTGACGAGGATCAAACTCGACTCTGTTCATTGACAGAAAACTATTGTTCCAACGGGAACGTGTATTCGACACTGCGAATTCAATATATAAACTCTCCTTTGATCTGTGCTTACGTAAAGGACAAGCTAATTTAAGGTAGAAATTCATTTTTAAATTTTCCCGCCGACTACTTCAAACTCCCCATCACAGTACACGATATAAAATATTATACGCAATTTATTCTTAGATCGGTTTAACTTAAGGTAGAAATTCATTTTCAAATTTACCCCAGCCTTTATACTCTCCTATATTGTAGGATACAAAATATTATGTACAATTTATTCACAGATCGTTTTAACGATTCATAATTATTCTAATTTTTGTCTACGTATCATTATAATTTTCAAATTGTCGAAGTTATTTTACTTCATTTGTATTTATTTCTATAAATGTAAGGAATGTCTTTAATTGTGATCTCGAACGTTAAATACATGCGCAGTAGATAATGAAATGTTACAAACATGCGTAGTAGAATTCGCACAACAAATGCACTGGAATAATATATAATAAACTTCACTGCGCACAATTATTGTCTAAGGTTAGCTATTGCGTATGTTTACTACGCAAGGTTAACTACTGCGCATGATTACTGCGCATGAGTACAGCGCAAAGTTACCCACTGCGCATGGTTACTGCGTAAGGTTAGCTACTGCGCATAATTATTGCGCAAGGTTAACAACCGCGCATATTTTATATATTCAAATTCCACGAATATTTCACTAAAAGATGTAAATGAAACACTTGCTTTTTAAATATTTTAACATTATCGTTCGAGTGTACGTTTAATTTATTCATAATAAAGTGAATAAAGATCATGTATAATTAGGCACTTCGATCAGACGATTAATGAACCGTCCGAAACGGTATGCAAAATTGTTACGGTATAAAATTAATTTCTTGAACTTCAAAATCGTTCACGGTCCGCTCATCGATCCGCGAACGGGGTATTCAACAAAGAAATATCGTTTACCGTTCAATTTGTTATTTGCATGACGCAGCAGAAAGATAGAAAATCGACGAAGCAAAGTACGGGGTCCTACGACCGTCGGAATGATAATGCAATAAGTGGCGGTGATAAGGGGAACTAGTTTGGCCGGACGAAAAAGCCCGTAGAAACGAAATCGGTGGGTCAGCAACGTGAAATTGCTGAGCAGAAAGCATAGAACGACGGAAAAGAGCAAAGAGGAGTGTAATGGATATTGGATGAGGTCCGCGATCGAACGTACAATCAAATCCGTTTTCCTCGTCACCTTATCGTTAAGTCATAATTGCACGTCACGATACGGCTGTTAAAACCAATCAATTGCTTCTAATCAAACCACTTATAGAGACAGAAATATTCTCGATACGAAACATCGAATCTAGAACAATGATGGGCAATTGTACAGTGGCCTGCATGAGTGCCCTCGTTCGCACCAACTGACATCGATAATCTCGCTATATTGCCGTCAATGGTGCAAGAATTGAAATTGCAAATGTAGGAGATTGTAGTTATTTCAGAACATGAAGTTTGAAAATTTTTGAATTTATGATTTTGAATATAATGTTTTCGGGTATGTGGTTTCAGAATGAAATTGTCAATTACAGCGATATTAAGTGGGGTTTCGAAAAATGTTGACCAGTAGTGTACCCCAAGGCGAATCGAGCAAGGTAGTCCGAGTACGACCCCTTCCCTGTCCGGTACAAGGACCAAAAGAGAAGTGCACTCGAACGGGAACCCTGGCAAACGTCATATAGCCCTGGCGAACTTACGAGCGACCAACACACGTGTACATAGGATGTGTACATGCAGGAATACTCACGTATTTCATTGAAATAGAAAGGGTATTCGCCGGGCACAGAACAGTTGAGCCTCGCTTTCAGGAAGCTCGTCCATCTGTCGCTGAACGCATGAGGTCCGCCCTTGTCGTGCTGGCACACTCTACCCACTCGCGAGTACACCGCCTAAAACACAAACGACAAGATCTTCAACGATCCTATCATTCGATCCTCTTTTTCTTTGCTGGTGAACGTCTTGTTCCATTGTGTCACCGGCACGACGCGAGAGGAGGGCAGAAATTTTACGATGCGTGAAAATTGAATGGAGAGGACTGTTTGTATGAAGGCTTTTGTTAGTTAGATACTTGCCTTGCCACAGTTCATGTATTCTACCGCTGTTTCGCGGTAGAAGAAGAAGACGTATTCTTCGTAGGCGAATGAGCTGACGAAATTTGGACCTGTAACAGAAATAGAATTATTAGAATTGTTAGAATGGCTGAGGCGATTTCATGACGTAGAAGTATTAGATAATGGCACTTATGCTGTATCAATTTCAAGGTTAAGGACAATGGAAAATAACTGTGTAAGAGATTCGTTGATATTCGTTTACTGTTATGTATAATCGAAGCTTGATTAAGTGCCGAGTTGTCATAATACATCAAATGACTGATAATGAAACTCAAAGTCTAAGATTTCATGACATAAAAGTATCACAGAATGGTGCTTATGCTACATCAATTTAAAGGTCAAGGACAATGGAAAACAACTACATACGGGATTCATTGAAAATTTTATATTATTACGTGTAACTGAAGCTTAATTAAGTAACAAATTGTCATAGTGCAATAACTGATTTTGTAACGTGAGATTCAGATGATTTTTCATGACATAAAAGTATCACAGAATGGCACTTACATTACATCAATTTAAAGCTAAAGAACCATAGAAAGGGACTGCATAAAGGATTCATTGATCATTTTAACACAAAATGAATGGTTGTCAATTGTAGCGCATCACATTGCGTAGCAACAATAATGTAAATTGGTTGATTCACTGTTTCAATAGAGAACTGACTACATTATATGAAGAATGTTAGTTGGGCGATTAAAATAACATTTTCAACAAGTTTTAAACTTCAAATTTATATATAACAAGTATCATTTGGCGGCACTGTCATGAAATTATATTATATTGTTTAGGCTCCCAAAGTGAACATTTGACACAAAAAAATGAGAGAATATATTATAAATAATTATCAATAATTTTGTTTTAAGAATATTATTGGGGCATTTATGTAGTATTCTTTATTAGGATTTAAGCTTTAAATTGATATATCATAAGTGCAATTATCTAATACTTTTATGTCATGAAATCACTGTGGACCTTCTCTGTCCCCAAATTGGATATTTGATATTGTATAACAGTATTGGTTACATATGAACACCGGACATTTTGTATTAAGAATATTAATGGGGCATTTGTGTAGTGCTTTTCGTTAAGCTTTAAGCTTAAAATTGGTGTACCATAAGTGCCATTTCGCGATACTTTTATGTCATGAAATTTTCGTAGAAAATTTACGTTCTAAAACAACTTACTTGATATAAGAGTATTGTTTGCTTCTGAACACAGAACATTTTGTATTAAGAATATTAATGGGGCATTTATGTACTGCTTTTCAAGCTTTAAGCTTTAAATTGTTATACAATAAGCGTCATTTTGCAATACTTTTATGTCATGAAATTGTCGTAGAATTTTTATGTTCTAAAACTAGTTACTATACTACAATAACAGTATTACTTACAATTAATGACCAGCAATTTAAAACTAAAAATATTGTAGGGTCATTTATGTAATATTTTAACCAAGTTTTAATCTTTAAATTGATATACCATAATTGTTATTTCCTGATATTTTCATGTGATGAAATATCACATTTTCCATGCTTCGTGATTTCGCGTAATTTATACAACGCTTCCTTACATCGTTCCGCATCATCTACCATACAGCACGAACAACGTATATTAAATGCAATAAATAAATAAAACCACTTTTTGGTGAATTTTGCAGGGATACACGTGTACGTGGTTATGATGGAGAGATATAACCGTTCAACAACAGAATGGAAATTTGCTGAATTGTGTCGACGCGGCGAGTTTCCATTAAAATGTCGATTAAATAAATATCAAATGTTTCGATCAAACGGAAAATGAATTTAAATCGAATACCTAGTTTGATACAATTTTCTACTTGTTACAATCAAATACAGATCGTATCTCTCTTTTATTAATATTTCAAAATTAAAACACATTTATCTACGTTACAATTGACCCTCTGCAAATATTGTGTGTGTGTAATACACTCACATACACAATTACTATTTATTTCAGGGAATTCAAAAGTGAATAAACAGTCAAATTTATATATTTCTACATTTTAAAATGTTTAACTTTTAAAATTTGGTAATTTTAAATTTGGAATTTTTAAATTTGTAGATTTTCAAATATTTAAATTCACAAATTTCCACATTCTTAAATTTTTAAGTTCCTAAATTTCTGGATCCACTTAGTTATCTCCCTAAATTCTTCTCTATAAATTTCTCTATAAATTTTCAATCCATCTCGAAAAATCCCTAAAATTCAATAGTACTATAATCAATATTAACAACTGAAAATTTATCTTTTCATATTTCTCCTTCAAGTATTCTTTATTTTACCCGTTGAAATATGGACTGCAATAATAATGAAGTCATCAGAATTTAATTTAAACCTGTCAATACTATTTATCGTAACTCCCGTCAAACGAAGAATACGCATTAAGTTTAACCGAACGAATTTACGTTAGAAACCAATAAATCGATGAGAGTTCAAGTAAACAGTCGCCGACAATAAGAGATAACTGTAGCAGAGACATTGAGTTGCTCAGATCGAGATATTAACTTCTTAGGCACGGCTGAACTTCACGCTGCTTCTCTGCAGAGATCGAATTACGCAAACTACAATGTGTGACAATGCTGTTCTCAAAGAGAGTACATTGGATCGAAGTTTCTCATGATTAAATTATTTTTCCCAAAGACATGATATACTTTAACTTTGATAATTTACTTTTTTCGAAAACTCACAAAATATGTAATTTTTAAATGTTTCTAATATCGTGTATTAGTGTAAAGAGGTGCACACGGTGCCTAAACTACTTGGTACCTTTTATTTACATGTAATGTACTTTTGTGGGATTTGTCACCACTCTTATGAAACGTGGTGAAGGCAAAAAGTGCGAATCGAAACATATGAAAATGATCATTCAATTGAAACGGTGTGCGAGTCAGTAGAGTGAGCCATGGCGCTATGTAATCTACGATGACATTCGCGAAAGCCACTATAGTGGACCGTCGAACAGATGGTATCCGCGAAAGCCACTATAGTGGCGCGTCGTGCCTAAGAGGTGAAACATTTATTATCCCCTTAACCTATGATTTTTTCGACAGTTGCGTCAGTCAGAGGTAACCAATCACCGTCGTGATATTAAAATAAATAACAAAACTTGAAATGTTAGACATACTTTAAATTTAGCTATCTTTAATTGTACAAATTGTAACTCGTATTGAATATTCTCGAGAGCCACCATAGTGGACCGTTGTACAGATGGTCGCGAAAGTCACTATAGTTGTTTCTAAGAGGTTAATATGTGTAGCATAACGTAATTAATTCAAATTCCATTACCGTTTAGTTGATTTAAATCCGAGCGCTCAGTGCGGATTTTCTCTCTGTGAATCAGCGGCTCTCCGCCAGAAAAGTCGGCCACAGTCGCGGCGTACAGCTGTCCCTCTGAAACATGCATAAAAGCTTCGTGTCAGTAACTCCTAATTCCAAAATTTGCCTCTTAATTTTCGATGTTCTGTCATGTCATTAGCCCGCTTCACCGTGCCGACGATCATACATTAAAATCCTATTATTACACGCTTCTCCTTTTTCGAAATACTATCTCGCGTAATTATACATTCGCCTTTAACCCCCTATCGCTACTGTGGACGACTATAATCGCTCGTCACGAAGTGATCGCTGGGTACTATGAGCGATTGTAGTCGCTCATCATGGTACATGACAGGAATTTATGTTCCGAAATAGGGGATGAGGAATGGAAATCGTATGTCAGTTAGGAACGAAAATATGTAATAGGTTACACCATATGTTGATAATGAAATTTTAGGAAAATTTGTTTTGCTTCGGATATTGAATTAAATAATTTGCTGATTAGATCGTAGATGTACAAGTTCTGATTTGGATATTGTAAAGCGGTCATTAGTAGATTGCATGTGTATTTACACCGAATAAGAAATCATAAGTAGTCAAATTAAGTACGTAGTAATTACTACATTCTTATAAGAAAGATGAAGAGAATTCTTCAGGAAGCTTAAGATAAACAGTGTGGTGTATTACAAGTGCACTAAATTACCGACACGCCAAACTGACAGCGCACTAAAGTTTCAGCGCGTCAAATTGACAGCGCAATAAATTTTCAATGCGTCAAATTGACGGCGCAACAAATTATCAACGCGTCAAATTTTCAGCGCAATAAATTATCAACGCATTGAATTGACACCGCAATAAATTATCAACGCGTCAAATTTTCAGCGGAATAAATTATCAACGTATCGAATTGGCAGCGCAACAAATTATCAACGCGTCAAATTTTCAGCGCAATAAATTATCAACGCATCGAATTGACAGCGCAACAAATTAGCAACGCATTGAATTGACAGCGCAACAAATTATCAACGCGTCAAATTTTCAGCGCAATAAATTATCAACGCATCGAATTGACAGCGCAACAAATTATCAACGCGTCAAATTTTCAGCGCAATAAATTATCAAGGCATCTAATTGACCGGGCAATAAATTATCAACGCGTCAAATTTTCAGCGCAATAAATTATTAACGTGTCAAATTTTCAGCGCAATGAATTATCAACGCATCGAATTGACCGGGTAATAAATTTTCAACGCGTCAAATTAAAAACGTATCAATTGGTCAACGCGTTATATTTGTCAGCGCATGAAATTTGCAATCATTGAATAATCAACGTGTAGAGTTTAAAGTCGCATTGAGTGTAAAATTTACAATGCGTGAAATAATCAACGTGAAAAATAATATTGCGTTGAACAATTTACAAGTAAATTTTACAATGCATTAAACAATCAACGCATCAAACATAAACGCGCTAAATCACCAGTATGTTTGAACAAAACACAATATAATATATCTGCAGACTTCGCAGCAGAAGCAAGTTCGAACAGTACCCTTTTTACGAGCAGAGGATTCATTTATCAGAAATGTTTTGTTCGACACGCAGTTAGTAGTACATAACATAGTAGTATTACAAGGATTTCCTTTTCTTCCTGTTTCTCTATCTCGAAATATGCGTGGCTTCGTCCGCCTCGTATATATTAATTAAAGTGTCAAGAACGACGCGGAGCTCTTAGGTTTCTGGCATTTGCCGATACTTTCACTGTTGTTGCAGGTTGTTTGCTGTTCACTGACACCTCGCTTAACGATGTTGTACTTCTAGTTAAAGGAAATTAGATTTTCAATTAGGTCCCAGGCTGACGGATCTAATTAATTATGGCGAGAGCGTACGCAAAGCTGAAATTACTACGTCGTGTTACGGTTTTTATATTCATTGTCCGGTATCAGGCAGAAATTGAATATGGTAATTAACAGGCTTGATTGGCACGGTTGAATATAAGCAGTGATATGCATCTCATTTTTGAACCTAACCTTTTAAACAGTATGATTTTTGTTGTCTTCAATATGTATTCTTCTAGTTTATAATATATACTCTTTCTTTTGTGAATCGAACAAAAATTGGGATAGAGTTTTTTAGAGGTGGAAATTTATGGGAAGAAGACAATTTTTGGTTATTAGAAGATGTTATAGTTGGATTTATAAGCTTTTGCATTTTCGAATTTAAGAATTTTCTAAATTTCCAACTTTTCAAAATTTCAAATTTTTAATTTGTCAAATTTTCAAATTTATAAAATAGCAAATTTCTAAATTCCCAAAATATCTATTTTTTAATCTTGAAACTTACAAACTTCCAAATCCTCAAATTCCCAAATACCCAAATTTCATAAATTGTTCAAATTTTCAAATTTCAATTTTATAATCTTGAAATATAAAATTTCTATAAAATTCTTAAATTCCCAAATTTCAAAATGTCCAAATGCTCAAATTTTCAAATTTCCAAATTCTTTAAATTTCAATTTTTCAATTTTGGAACTTCCAAACTACTATATTCTGAAATTCTCAAAATTTCAATTTTTTAATCTTGGCACCTCCAATTTTCCAAACTTCCATAATTCTCAAATTCCTAAATTTAAAAATTTCCAAATTCTCAAATTTCCAAATACTCAAAGTCCCAAATAAAACAACCTTGAAATTTCCAAATACTGAAATTCCCAAATAAAACAACCTTGAAATTCCCAAATATCAAATCCCTAAATTCCACCACTTCACACATCAAATGTATAATTTCCACCCTCTACCATCATATCAATATTCCTCAAGCAACCCTACAAAATATCGCGATCGTTTTAAAAAGGTTCGCCACAGCTTCGTTCTCCATATGCAAAATCCCTGTAACATGCACTTGAAAGTTCACGGAAATTGCCTTAATTTTTTAACGAAATTGCTTTCAGTAATAGCGTGTAAAGCAGACTTGGATATTAGTTAAAAACTAAGTAAGATTTTCGTGCTAACGAAGTTATTCACGAGCAACAATCGCTCGTTTCCGCTCGAAGAATTCCAAAAACTGTGGAAAGAGTCATTTGAAATGGGCTGCCGTAAAACTTTCAGTTCGAGGACACGTCGTGCCTGTATTTTTCGTAAAAAGAACGAGTCCGCCAAGCGGAAACTTTCCAGAACAGCTGTTTTCATGCATAGCCTAATTATTAAAATTAGGCTATTTGTAAGGGAACAGTAGAACACCGAGTCTTTACACACTTTTTTTATTTTTAAGACGACGCTGCATACGACTACGACTAATTAGGATTAATCTGTGTTACTATCTTGACAATTTCTGATAACGGCTTACCCAAAATTGTCTCTCTCTTTTTTTAGGAGAAATTTAATTAGCATATTTTGTACAAATTTACAGTAACATGTTCTGTGCAAATTTTGTGTAACTATATTATATTTATATGTTCAATGTAAATTTAGAATAAACTGTAGTATCAATTTTATTTTAATTTAGTACTGTATTATAATTATTATAAATTTAGAAAGTTAATATTGTTCAGGACAAGTTTGGTGTGTTGATATATTTAGTATGAAAGTACATTTATTTAGTACATTTATATATTTACTATACATTTATAAATTACAAATATATATATTTTTATATTATTTTTTATTACACTAATACGTTTGCATATTTACTATACATTTATAGTACATTTATAAATTTAGTATGTTAACAGATTTATTATATTTATACATATAGTACGAATTTAGTATATTAATATATTCAGTATAAATTTAATACATTATTTGAATTTTACCGTCCTAGCAGATTTGAATTTTACCGCGAGATTTCACTTTTCGCTTCAAAGATTTGAATTTTACCGCCACACCATAACAATTTATCCCGCATTTTAATTTTACTGCCATAGTATATACATATAATTTGACCCTTATAATTTGAATTATCCCACCAGATTTTAATTTTACCACCATAGTATATCTGACCGTCATAATTTGAATTTTCCCGCCACAGATTTGAACTGTACTGTCCAGTCACGTCGAACTGGATAACAAATCCAATATGTAGTATTATGATAACACGACTGATCTTTCGTGAAACCTTGTAAGCTAGGAATTACAAGCAGAATAAGTATGTATAATATATTCGACGAGGAAAGAATCTATGTTGAACACTATGTGCCCAGTCGTGACACGACTTTCACGCAATGTATCGATATGCAACATACGATGCAACCGCATTGTACTTCCGCATATTTCTCCTTTGTTAGACTTCACTGAAATATTCCACATGGCCGACGCATTCGTGAACACGTTTGTCTTATTAATGTACAAACCGATACGTTGTCTGTGATACAACAAACATGCTTAGGTATCTAACGCGTAAACAATTGACGTCATTTGTGACACTAGCCAGAAGCTTAAACAATTCAAAATGATCTTCTCTATTTTCAGATTTAATTATATGTGTACAATTTTATAAGAGAGAATCGTGCATTATAAACTGGGTCAATCGTGTACCAAAGTTGCGAAATATGTACAAGAATGCTTGGACTAAAATTAGGCAATCGAATATTAAATGCGGAAATGTACACTGCGGGTGAAATATTTAAGGCGAAGTTTAGGAGCCGAGATTCGTGAAATTTAAATGGCGACATAGATCGCGGTAAATAGTAGAATATACAAATTTTTTATGTAGACAGTTTTATTTTACTTCGGAAAAGTTACTGTCTTCGAAAATGAGATTCTGAGACTTTGAAATTTTAAGATGTTTAAGATTCGAGATTTCCATATTAATTTCTTAACATAAGTATAAAATAAGCTATCTTAGTTTAGCAAAATGAGAAATGTGGTAGAAAACAGTACACTCGATGTGTGTATACAGAGTGTATGTATACTACTGAACATACGAGGTCATACATATGTCCCTACATATGCAATAATGAACATAAACGGTCGCATACATGTTTATGTCTGTGATGTACATACTAACTACAATGAAAAGCATATAGTACTAATACATTCCATTCAATCTACACCTACAATTAATAAAATCGAATAAATACCAT